GAGGGAGAAGCAGGCTCCCGCGGAGCAGGGAGCCCGATGCGGGGCTCGATCCCAGGACCCTGAGATCATGACCTGAGCCGAAGGCAGCCACTCAACCGACTGAGGCACCCAGGCGCCCCTCATTCCTGTGTGTTCTTAAAACGAAACCAAACCAGACATCTTTAGCATTTCAGAAAAAGCAATGGACCGGATATCAGATAATCTGTGTACCTCACAGAAACAAGCCAGGCTCTTGACAGTGACCCAGTGTGGCCCCTGGGATCATTTCTGATGTCCACTTCGGTGATTCTTGGCAAATGGCATTTGTGCCTTTCAGGGGGCTTCTGCTTTCTATACTTGGCCAATATTATTAAAATAATTGAAAATGTTAAAATATGTTGTGGAAGGGAATAGTTTCCTCTGATATGAAGAGAAAAGAATAGATGAAATCCTTCTGTTGAAGAAAAAGCAAAAGAATATGCAAGTGGACAAATTTCGATGCCACAGGTAGCTCCCGAGGGAAGGACCATCATTTTCCTTTACATGAAAGTTATCATCATGTCATTAAGGGACAGGAGTGACGAGGTGAGTCACTCAGCGCTCAGGCAGGACCTGGACTCGAGATGCATCATCTGATGCAGGTTTTCCCCTAGGAGTTTCATTTAATTCATATACTTGTCCTAACCTCCTATTTAGATTTTCTCTCCTTGAGCCCACCAATACTGAGGGAGGGGAGAGACAGCTCTGCTGGGAGCCGAGGGAGGGAGGGAGCCTTCAGCATTTCCCATGCATAATCCCAAGGCCAGGGTCTCCTTTTTTTTTTTTTTTTAAGATTTTATTTATTTATTTTTGAGAGAGAGCGAGAGAAAGAACGAGCTGGGTGGGGAGAGGGGCAGAGGGAGAAACAGACTCGCTGCTGAGCAGGGAGCCCAATGCGGGACTCGATCCCAGGACCCTGGGATCCTGACCCAAGCTGAAGGCAGACACTTAACCGACTGAGCCACCCAGGCGCCCCAAGGCCAGGGTCTCCTTGCAAATGACTGTGAGCCAGCTGGAGAATAAAAGCTGAGATGGTATAAGTTATTGATTTGCTCTGTTTTTTAAAAATAATTCATATGCCATCAAATTCACCCTTCGTAAGTATACAGTTCAGTAGATTTTAGAATGGTCACAAAGTTGTGCAACCATCGGCACCATCTAATTCCAGAACATTTGCATCACCCTTAAAAAGAAACCCAAAGCCATTAGCAGTCACTCCCCTTTCTGCCTAGACTTCTCTCCAGAGAGAAAAGTGGAGGCAAGTGGTAACTGTCAGCCAGGCGGGAGAGAGGTGAAGCTGATGTCCTTCGTGTTTTCAGCTTCCGAAGTCACTGCCCCACGGTCGGATTTTGGAACAGAAGGAGAGCGGGGCCAGCTGAAGGGCTTGGTTGTGATGACAGGATAGCCAACACTTGCAAAGCCCTTGTTAGGTGGCAGGCATTAGAATAAGCACTTTGATGAAGTAGCTCATGGAGTTCTTGTCACAACTCAGTGAGGCTGGGTAAGCAAGACCATGAGATGGAAGCTTGGAGGGCAGCTTCAGGAAGGGCAGGAGATGGAGCCAGAACCTTCACTCAAAATCACCCTTCTATCTGGCCTCTCAGAGGGACTGTCGAATCCTTGCCAAGTGTCGGACCAGAGACACGGACCAGAGACACGGACCAGGCTGTGTATTCTGCACAAAGAGATGGGAAGTGGTCTCGAAGGCAGGGCGTTTAGAAAAGGGGACTGCGGGGTGCGGGTCTAAGGACTAAGTTGGAAGAGGAGCCAGGAAAGGAAATATCAGTGAGGTGGGATGCGCCAAGGGAAAACGATTCCCATCTATGTCCAGATTGCTCAGGAAGCCCATGTAATTTCAGCTCAGGAGACCGGGAGCCTGCGTGGCTGGAGTCCGTCTCTAGGTCCGTCCCTTGTCATCTGTCTGTCAGTTCCTTCATTTTCCATACGTATCAATTCCATTCTACCTCCTCTCAACGCTAGCCACCTCTGGCCATAGTAGGATGTCCTTGGTGACCTTCCAGATCCTCGTGTGCGCCCCTCCCTGCTTTCAACACCCCATTCCTGGCATCCGCAGACCCCTGCTCTCAGTAGCAGCCGGTCCAGTCCATCCCAGCTTCCCGCTCCGGCCACCTGCCCCGTTCTCCTCCCAGCCTCGTAGAGCACAGTCCTCTGACTCCCCCTGCCCTCACTTCCTCGCACATCTCCTGAGTTATTTTCTCAAAAGCTAAAGATGCTCTATACCAGCACATCTTAAGCTTTAATGTTCCTGTGACTCACCTGGGGATTTTGGAAAAGCACAGCTTCTGATTAAGTAGGTCTAGAGTGAGGTCTGAGGTTCTGCATTTCGAATGACCTTCCACCTGATCCCGATGCTGCTGGTTCAGGGACCGATTTGAGCAGCAAGTGTCTAGACTCTGGATTGTTAGCTTCTCATTTTGGGGATTCAGATTTTAAAAGAGGTACTGACAAATAAGACAGTGTCTGGGGCAATCAGGTGGTGGTGGGGGGCATGTCTAGAAACCAGGTCTTTTAAGGATAACCTGGAGCAACTTAGTACATTTGGTGAAGGAAAAACAAACCAGCGGGAATGAGAAGCCAGGTGAGGGGCCTCTGCAAATATGTGAGAGCAAACTTGCTGGTACTGTTCTCAAGGATGGCAGCAGGACCGAGGAATCCAGGTCGGTGCGTCTTGAGCACAAATTCCCACAAAATGCTCAGTTTAGGGACGGTTCCACAGTCATGTAAGTTCAGTGTGTGCACAGACCCTATCTTCGCAGAGGTTTATAGGCACCTTAGCATATTAAAGGCTCTGAGAAGTCACGCAGGGAAGGAACTGGTCTAACTCTGTAGAGCCAAGCATTCCCTCACTTCCTTTACCCTGAAACCACGTTTTCACTGTTCATGCCATGACTGTCATTCTGAGCTGGTGTTCTCTCTGAGAGGGGGAAGGACTGGTTTGTGGCATTCGTGTGAAAACTGAGGCACCCCAGGGGGAAGTCTTTGAAGAAAGCTCTCTGTGAGAATGTGGCATCTGATTGAACCACTTTGGGCTTTAGGTTCCTCTGTCAAATGACTACATCAGTGGTTTTCAGACTTTAAAATGGAGCACAATGGTTTGAAGTGAAAACCCCAATATAACATGCATTTGTAAAAAGAGGCTCTGTTGGGACTGGGGATGCTGCCCTGGGGCATTCTCTGCACCCTGAGGTGCTCCACGGCAGGTCTCCTGACAGCAGAGAGATGGCTGGACAAAGCGCAAGGTGTCCCGCACACGCTAACGTCCGTCCTGTGCCTCAGTTTCTGCCTTTTCTTTTAGACGGATGTTCCCCGTCCTCAAGATTAGTGTCACGGGGCTGGACCCCAATGCCATGTACTCCCTCCTGCTGGACTTTGTCCCCACGGACAGTCACCGCTGGAAGTACGTCAATGGGGAGTGGGTGCCCGCAGGCAAGCCAGAGGTCTCCGGCCACAGCTGCGTCTACATCCACCCGGATTCCCCCAACTTCGGGGCCCACTGGATGAAAGCTCCCATCTCCTTCAGCAAAGTCAAGCTGACGAACAAGCTCAACGGAGGTGGGCAGGTACGATCGGGTCGCCCGGCCACCCGGCCGCCCCGCAACACCAATCAAGAAATATCAAGGGTGCATTTAGGCAATTAGAGGGGTCCTCACCGGCCTCTTCTCCCACGGAAGCCAATTATTCCCTGGACTCCAAATGTGAACAGGAATAAACAGCTCTTAATTGGTGCTTTCGGTTTTTAATGGACTTCCTGATGTTAAGAGAGTGAGAGAGTGCTGCCGTTTACTTAATCATCAAGAGTCCTTTCATAGTTTTGTCTTGTGTGTGGTGCTTTTTACCCAGCCCTGGGGAGGAGATGTTTGTGGGTACCAGGGTTCTGTTTTTCTCTCTCCTCTTTTTTGGTGTAAGTGGCATGTTGGCAATAGACAAATGCCTTAATAAAAAGCTGCTCCTAAATGAAATAATTGCTGTCTCCGCTGGGACATTATGATAATTGTCAATAGAATAGTGAAGCGGCTTTGGGTTTTCAGAAAAACAAACAAACCTTAAATAAGGAAGGTTTTATTTAAGGTCTCCAATTAGAGGGAACAAGAATTCGGGGCTTTTTCCTCTTTTGTTTTCTCTGGGAGGGTTGTGAATACTAGGGTATCGGGTAGGGTTGTGATTTATGTTAGAAAATGTGGACGGTTTCGGGGGCAGCGCTGTGCCTGGGGGAGAGGTTTGCCGACCCCGCTGTTTCGTGTTGTGAGCCTCTCAGCCCTGGGTCTTCGTGCCTCCTCTGACCCCTGTGCTTAGCCTGCGGGGACCCGGGAGCTCAGGCTTTAGCAGGAGGAGGTGAGACACCCAAGTCCTGGCAGTGTTCAGAAGGTTCCAGGTGTTTATTAAAACAGGAAATTGAAAAGTAAACGGTTCTTGCCTCCCCCGTTTCACAGCATAAGACTTGCAGTAAACCTCCGTGTGAGTCACAGAGAGTGGACGCAGTGTGACCGGCAGGTGTCCGATGTCATCACCCTTCAGGTAGTCGCTTGCGAAATGCGGCCATGCCAGTGTTTTGAGATCTCAGGTTTCCTCTTATGAAGAACAACAGTATATCTTAATGGATCAAAATCTGCATCGTTGTTCTGAAAATAGGGAGAGAAAGGAAAAAAAAGGACGAAGGACTTGGGCAGAGCACTGACACTCTTTAGGAACAACTTTCTGGCAAGTCCGGCATAAGCGCTGATGTTAGGCTCCCTGGAAACTTCCGGAAAACTGCCCCCCTCTTCAGTTCTCAAGCGAGGGGAATGGTGTGGTGGCCCTGGCCAGGCGGGCCATCAAGCCGCACGCTCTGCAAGGCTTCTCTTTCTCTCCTTCTCCCACTTCCACAGATAATGTTGAATTCTCTGCATAAATATGAGCCCCAGGTTCACATAGTGCGTGTTGGAGGTGCCCATCGAATGGTGATGAACTGCTCCTTCCCTGAAACCCAGTTCATAGCTGTGACGGCCTATCAGAACGAGGAGGTAAGTGTGCATGGGCGCGTGTGCAGAAATGCCCCCTGGAAGGGTGTGGGAGGATGGGGACCACGTGTGGATGAAAGCTGGGTTTCCAGGATCTCAGTGATCTCAGCAGAGATGAAGTTAAACAGTGGAGTAGCCCTTTCCACTCTCTCTTGCCTGTTTGCCAACGGCCTGCCAGAGCTTCATCTCTGGGTGCCAAGAAGGCGAGGTTGTGCATTGCATGGAAGCCAACAGAAGCCCAGGGGTCTTTGTTCTCAGGGCCCCGTGGGCCCTTGGCCCGCACAGAGCTGGGTGAGCTCCCGCTCCAGGAGCAAGTCTGTGAGACTTGAGCCGCGCCTGCAGTCCTCTGGGTTGTGTTATGCTATCCGTCCTGTTTGCTAGATCTTCTGAGCACGCTTAGGTCTTTCCTGCCTGAAGGAAGCCACGGCCCTTAGAACCGAGGAGCCAGAGTCCGGCCTCTGTGGATTAGCTGCGGGCACGATGTTCGGGTCCATCTGCACACTCAAGAGCTTCCCAGGTCTGCTCGTCATCAGAAGTGCCAGGGGAGGGTTGGATTCTTTCTGACTAAACTTAAAAAAAAAAATTTTTTTTAAAGTAATACATGTTCATTAAAGAAACCCCCACATAATAAATAAATAGTACAGAAGTATGTTCAGTGAAAATGAAGAAGAAAAGGTACAAATGAGCTCTTTCTGTCCTGCCTTTTGAATCCCACTCCCCAAGGACACTACAAATAATAGCTTCAAGTGTGTTTTTCCCCCACCCATATTCTGTGTATATATAAATATATATGAGAATATGGGCTTCCTCACATAAGTTGGCTCATGTCATACATATTAGTCTGCAAATTTCTTTTTTTCAGGTTTATCTCTTTTTCTGAAGTGCCTGCAGAGGATATACTGTATTTCAGGCAATCAGCTCCCCACCGATGGACATTAGGTTGTTTATAGTCGTTTTATTTGCTATCATAAATAATGCAGCAAAGAATGTCCCAGAACATCCACATCCACTATTGTTTGCTTGCATGGATGAACACCCAGCAATGGCATTGCTCTATCAAGGAGGGTGTGGGTTTAGAATCCTGAAATATCACCAAATTGCCTCCCTCAGAGAGCATACTCATCTCAGTCCCCACACCATTCCTGACAGTGGGGATTAGCAGCCTTTTGCAGCGTTGATAACCTGATAGGTTAAACAAACAAACAAACAAAAAACCCCAAAACCAAAAACAAACAAACAAAAAAACCCCAAACAAACCCCAAAAGGTATCTTATTGCTGCTTTCATCTGCATTTCTTTATTTGGAAGCTCTTAAAGAATTTGGGCTCCCTCCCAGCCAACTGAGTCTGAATCTCCAGGGATGGTACCCAGAATCTGTAGTTTCTAAAGTCTCCCTAAAGGATTCTGATGAGCATCCGGGCTTGGAAATACTACCTTAGTGCCTACAGGTAACATTGAGCTGTCGGCTGAACTCGCATCACAGATGTGCAGAGAAAAATGTACCTTCTTTTCTACAAGTAGTCTGGCCTCTTGGCTGAGCCCCTCTGACAGGCCGGTGGGAACAGAGTTTAAATATTTGATCATTTCAACAGGTACTGTCTTTGTTGGCGAAAACATGCTGTGTTCAAGATGGCCAGCCCTCTCCTGCTTCTCTTCCTCGGATGGAGTCTGGGTCTTTGAGGGGAGGGTCTGGCTTTAGCAACTCTCGAGAGTGTGTGTTTGTGTATGTTGGGGGGTGTTGGGACTCTATCTTAGCCGCCTGATGCCGTATTTCAGCCTTGATTATGCCCCATGGGAATCAAGCCCAGGGAAGTCCAACCTCAGAGCCTCCCTCTGCCGTCAGCACTTTCCTGCCGAGTCAATGTTGGTGCACCCTGAGAGGGAGCGGGCCCGTGGGTAGATGCTGGTCTCACTATGCACCTTGACCCCTCCAGGTTTAGACCAGGAGAAAGACCTGGACATCAGACCCTGTGGTTCTCCTCCCTCTTCTGACTTCTCCCCCGTTCCCCGGGTCAGAAAGAGTGGTGCTTTCATTTAACTCTTCTTCCTTCTACCAGGCCCTTGCTGAAATAAACATTCTTTTCAATGCTTTCTTATCTAGCAAAGATTTGTCAACTGTGACCGCCTGCTGGGAACGCCGCGGTGGGCATCACAGATGTGTGCTGCCCTCACATCTGTACATCCCGCGGGGAGAGGCCATGAGCAAATATACATCATGTATGTGTGTATGATGTCGGTGGCTCTGAAGAATGAAGCCGGCAAAGGCCGTGGGATGGAGTGGCAGCGGGTGGGAGTGATAAACTGTGTTTCTGTGATCTGAATCACCGAGTAAGTGATCATTTAAACTCAGGGAGTGATGCTGGACCGTGCTGTCTGGGAGACGTGGATTCACACCTGCATCACTCCGACCGTGTTCCCGGGGACTAGAAGAGTAACTGATGTGAGGGGGATGTTCAATATGTTTAAAAAAAAAACCGGATGAATAAATAAAAGAAGGGATGCCGGGTTTAGCTACTTCGGGCTTTGCACATTTCTAATGCTTTGCCCTTTCTTTGCTCACATCACATTGCATTTCCCATTTTCACCACGGGCCACAACACAACGTTCTTTGTCAGAGACAGCGCACTGGTAATTTCGTGTAGAATTGAGCAAAGAAACATGGAGAGGGAGAACAAGCGAGGGGGGTTATTCTGACTTTACAGAAATTCACAGGTGAAGATAAAGGGCTCTATCCGTTCATACATGTTCCACTTTCACTAACGCTTCTTGTCTTTGCAAACGTAAGATAACAGCTCTCAAAATCAAGTACAACCCTTTTGCCAAAGCCTTCTTGGATGCCAAGGAAAGGTGAGTAGAGAAATTTCAGTAAAATCTTATGAGTTGACTTCTGCAAATGTGAAATTTATGCTCATCTTGAAAGGAGCTTGCATTAGCTTTGATAGAAATAGGTTGGTAACATTCAATTCCATATTCAACAAAATCAACAAAATTCAATGAACTCCTAATCATCTGTCCCTCGGAACAGAGCTCCAGGAGAACCTCTAACTGGCAATGTTTGCTCAGCTCTGTTTTACTACTGGTTCTTGAAAGTAACACAGGCACATGCAAAAGAAATAATGAAGTGATTTAGATTTTTAATAATTCACTCTGCCCTTCCTCCTCAATTCTGAGTAGTATGGTTTCAATAATGTTTTTTTAAACTACATGTAGTCCAGGAAAGGGAGTGATTCAGATGAGTAGTTCATAAAGATGAGAGCTTCATATCTTTCAGGTCCAAGGGAAGACCATTCAGAGACTTCTGGGGATCGCTTCTTGGCCTTTTGGCTAAGATCAAGTGTAGTATCCGTTCTTATCAGTTTAGAGACTTCTGGGATGGTGAATGGTAATGCTACCACTTGAGGCTAGTGATTCTACATCTTCGTGTTTTTCTTTTCCATTCTTGGAAAAAAAAGAACATTGGTACTTAATTGACTTCAATTGACAGACTTTGTCTGTCCTGTTAATATTTGATTTAATTTAATTTCAGATAACTAAGAGCCTGAGGAAAATCTCATGTGTGAGATGAACAGGACTTTTAGTAGGTGGTCCTGACTTGGAGTTTGGAGTCCTGACTTTGCCTTTTCCTGGCTGTTGGATCTTACATAAGTCACGTTGCCTCTCTGAAACCCACTTTTTAACATCTGCAAAGTGGGCATAGCAATATTTTCCTTGCAGGATTATTGGGGGATCTAGCATATCACAGATGTGCTCATGCCCCGAAGTCCTATGCAAATCCCAGCTGCTGTTATTGCTTGAATTTCATCAGGCAGGACCAATGACCACAAACCAGTGAGATCATACTAAGTAGGGATAGCTGTAAATACGGCAAATTGGAGTAACATTAGATTGCAATTCAAAGAGGAATTGCACATTAGATAAAATACCCTGGATGAAGAAGGGGGGAAAGATCTGAGACAAAAGGTGTTTGATTTTCTTATTCCAAGAAATGTATTGCTTTCCAAAGAGAATTTGGGGTAGATTTTCTGCTGGACTTGTATAATATGCTGGACAGCCAGGGCGCCCTTTCGCTCTCTTTCAGGAATCACCTCAAAGATGTTCCGGAAGCCGTCTCTGAGAGCCAGCACGTGGCCTACTCTCACCGTGAGTTGGGCGAACACTGGGTGGGATGCGCCTGGGGGGCACTGGGACCCATTGCCCACCACACTCAGACGCTACCTGTCATGAGTGCTCATGGCCTGTTCCAGAGCTTCTCTCAAGACTCAACAGGTTATTTCTTCCACTCGAGACAAGTGTATGCCCTTTCCAGAATTCCCAGAGAGAACTGGTGCTCCTGAGGGGCTGGATGGAATCTCAGGTGGGAGATAGGAACGGGAGTGATGGACTTCTCAGACTGGTGTGTTCCTGTCCCAGAGGCTAAGGACTGTCCCAAGTGCATTCTGGGAGTATCTCCTACCTCTGCACTCTCCCCTCTTGGCGGTCTGGCCTGGGTTGCCCCTGTTCTTAGTGTTTGCTCATTTTCTTTTT